AATTTGTCAATTAAATTTTTAGCCAAAAAGTTGGGTTAGTCCATATTTGACCCAAAGTTGGGTTGAAATAACCCAGCATTTTTTAGAGTGTAGGAATTAAGAGCATAGAAATTCTTCATAAGATTTCACTAAAGCTAGACCTGAAATATCTAAAGATATGACTTTTTTTTTTTTAGAGATACAGTATATCGTAGAGGGTTTATTAACAGCATGCCGGGCTTTACCGTGGTAAAAGATGGAAAACCCATCAAAGCAGTGCTTTTATTTAAAAAAAAATCAATAATGAATAATAAGAATAATACTGTCAGACTTATATTTTTAAATGATCTGTATATGTGCACATTGATTTTTTTTCAGTGTTTTGTGCCATGAGTGTTGCAATTTTATATATCAGGTTTCATTTTTAAAAACACATTTTGAAATCCAGATGTGAAATCCAATTCCACCATACTCCATCCAGCTGTTTTTGAATGCAAGAACGTAGTTAAGAAACTGATTTCTGGTGGACTCTTGTAACCCAGCACAATTGTATAGGGTTGTTCATTAAGATCTAACAGTCATTCAGACAACATATCAGTTAGTACCCTACAAAGCAAATAAATCAACAAATACAAACAAATCTTCATAACAAGGCTTGTTGGGTTTGAAACTGAGATGTACCTTTGCTTATTGACAATCATACATTCTCTTGCTTTCATTAGCTTGGATTCTTTGAGCGGAAGTTGAAGGAGGAGAAGTTTGACCGAGACAGTTGGGACTATGTACCTAAGACAGAAAGTGTGTCATAATATGGGATTTACACCACATACAAAACCAATCAGAATGCAAGGGACAAACCATGAAGGACTAATGCTCTGTCGACATCAAGAGCTGGACTCATGATAACCTATGGCCATTAACCGTAATGGCTGAGAACATTTATCGCAAAGCGATGAAGAGTACAAAAACTGTCAAAAGACTGCATTTTCTGTCAGCAGGATGAAGCCAGTGCACTTTAGAGTATGGAACAAACTACATGTGCTCAATGAATCGCTCCGGGACTGTCATGCCAAGGGAGAAAAGGATTCAGAATGTATTGTCGCTACAGAACTTTACGGCTCTGTTCCAAAACCTAGTGAGCAATCTTTGTAGGCAGCATTTTTTCTGAAGTGTGAAGGCGGTTTCTAAAGGTAGGAAGCGTGGCCAAATTTTAAGGCAGTTCCACGAATACAATTTATAAGGTGCTATTTGAGTTCGGATTCTGCCTTAACAGCTGCCTATTTAGATTGTAGACTGCAAGGCAGCTCACTAGGTTTTGGAACGGAGCCTATGATCACTGAACAACATATTGGCTAATGGACTGCTGTAGAGGAGAAATCGCACTGCTGTAGCTTTTCTTACTAAGGTTATTCCTGTGTATATCCGAAGAGAGACTCGCTCTTTTACGCCTGCAAGTTAGTATACCCTCCACAGGGGTGACACAGGATTTTCTGGCACTCTCCATCACCCTTTCCGAAGCAGAACATTGCTGCAGTTTTCACACCTTTGCATCACTGCGGTATCGGTTCTCCTTGCAAAAAAAGGAGGAAATGACACGCATTCTCTCTCCTCCCAAGCTCTCGCTGCTGAGTTCAATAGTTAGAAGTTTAACGGAGACGCCAGATGGAAGGAGCGAGTGTCTGCTGTGTGCTCTGGCTGGGTGCCATGGAAACGGGGCAAAGGAGGCTGCTGTTGTGTGTCGATACTGCACTACAGAACAGTGACAGAATTGGCATGTGTCTGGCTCCCAGCCATTGCTTAAGAGTGTGTGTTCATTTATAGGAAATAAAATCCACAAATACACAACGCACCATCACCTCTCACTCATATGCAGGCCCATACTGAATCTGCACGTGCAGAAAGCTCTAAAAGTTATATTTAAGGTTATAAATGAAAACATTTATAAAAAAAACTAGCACTGATAAATTACGATAGATTCGATAAATAAAAAAAATTGAGTTTTTGAATGAAAACTAAGCTGAAGCTAAAAGTGTTCACTCAAATACAAACCAAAAATTCAATAAAATTACAGAGACAATTAGTTTTTGTATTTTCAATTAAATTTAATTGCCCAAACCTGATTATCATGTCAAATATGTCATCATATGCAGAATGATTTTTTTACAGCTGTCATAAGAAATGAAAGTTAAAACATTTTGTGAATAAAAGAATCCTAAACAAACAACAAAATTCTAAACTAAATGGAAAAAAGTAATTAATATACATTTTATGAATACATTTTTATTTCAAATTTTTGTTTAATTAATTAAACATTTTATAAATAACTTCTAAGTTCTATATTTTTATAAAACATTTATATATTTTTTTTTTATTTTACAAATCCATTATTCACAAAATCAGTGCAAAAAATGTGGAAAAGCTGGTTTTGCTTGGGCCTGCTCATAAGAGTGTGTTGGTGTATGAATCAAAGAATCAATGCTAAAAATGTTGGATATAATCTTTAGATTTTGGGAAACCACATGGGTGCTTGTCAGTGCTTTTAATATAAAAGATACAAAGTCCAAAAAAAGTCTCCACTGTTCAGGGAAAAGTGTAAAAAAAAAAAAAAATCAGAATTTTTAATAATTTAATGTTTTCATTTTATTTCCTGTCTTTAAAAATTATACAAATTGTTGTTAAAAAAATTACTTTGGTTTAATTTAAATTCTTATGCACTGGAATGTTTTATGTGTCATATGTTTTTGCTCTGTCATAAAATGTTCTATGTACATGTTAAAGCTTTGCATTGTGCAGTTTCTCATAGCGCTACTATCTAGCACAGTCTCTCTTTAATGTGGTTGTGTGTATTCAGATACAGCTGCATTTAACCGGCGCCTCCTCTGCCTCCTCCATGTCTGCTCCAAAGAGTGTGAGGAGCTGCAGGTGAACTCTGGAAAATAAACAGAGCTGTCAGGACATTTAAACATTACAAGGATTTATCTGATATACGCACACGTCCCTCCCTTTTTTCTCAAAAGCTCACACTGTTCTGTTTATTCTTCTGTCACTCATTCTGCAGCTTTAAGAAGATGAATTGAGATTTTTTTTAATCAAGTGCCGCTCATATAGTGTTTGTAGTGTCTTCAAACAACACGGTCTGTGCTTACACAGGTCATCTGAAGTTCAACTTGTGCAAGTATACAGAGGCTATCTTGACTACTGTTTTGCAAATAAATAGGGATGCGACTTATTCAGTGTTATAAAGTGGAAAATTCTGACTAGGGCTAGTCTTATAATATTTTTAGGATGCTTTGGTCCTTCTAGAACATTGAATATTTGTCTTTTATGATATCACTGCAATACAAGGCCTCTAATGGATTACTGCTGTACATCACAACAGTTGTGAGGATTGACATTTTACCGGATCAGGAGTTCAGATGGGACCTCCCAGAGATCTCCGTCAATGTTCCAGGGGTATGTTCCTTCAGAGGAGATGATGGGCATGGTTTTTGAATCACACTCCTCGTTCTCCTCTGAGACATCGTCAGCACAACTTCCCTGAGAGTGTGGCCGCAGCTTCACAGCCTTTACGGTGTGTGTCTCAATAAACGAGAATCCAAACTGCAGAAGGATAAAGAAGAATCTCTCATTTAATGTTTTTGGCAATTACCAAACCTTAAGAGAGAGAGAGAAAAAAATTATAGATATATCCCATTATTGTCGAAGATGAGTGTATTAGATTCTACTTGATGCATTACAGTACTTTTTACTGTATTTCATTATTTTATTGTTTTGCATGGTTTAGTTTGTGAATTGGTCATATTTGAGGCTGTAGTTTACTTTAGGACCACAAGGAGGCAGTGATGAACAGCTGATCCTCATTGGCTCACCTCAGTCCTGTTTGTGTGACCTGGAGTGAACCTGGATACAGAACCAGGCCAGGACTGGACTTTCATTCCATCATATCATATATCCTTTTATTCAGATAACCAGGTACATCTATCAAATTCTTAATTAGATAAATGTATGCATTGTTATAGAGAAAAGGAGCGAGAATGGAATTTTTCTATATCATCATCTAAGCATATAATTAAGCACATTTTCTCATTACCATAATGTATCTTAAAGTGAAAGTAAATGACATTATATTTGAGTTTTTCCCCTTTTTGACTTTAATTCCCAATGCTGATATACATTAATTTAATACAATGAATTTTCAACTCATGCTTAAATTGTTTAAAAAATACTACCATGATATATAAATATTTAATAATACATATTATTTTTTCACAGTACTGAAATGAGAATGTTTTTATTTTTTATTTATTTTTTGCAAGTTTTAAAAATAGACAAAATTTTTATACATTTCTTGAAGCATGAGACTTTTTTTTCCAGATTCAACCACAGTTCAAATACACTTGGCTCCTACATGTAAATGAGGTGAACACACACAAGCTCTTTTAAAATGGGCAATAAAGGCCCAATAGTACAGCACAGAAACCCTGAAATTGACATCGCTTTACTTTGCGGCACAATGACATCTCACACGAGAGTGAAGAGCAGAAGCAGTAGGTCAACGCCAACCTATTATTTATACACAGATTATTTATAGAATGTGGGTTAACAAACAGCTCTAGATTGGATTGCTTAAGAAAAAGGAAGAGACAGGCTCTAAAATAGGCTAATCTGTATTAGCCTGAAAAGTATTTTGTGGGAAGCTGACAATCAGCGACTAATTTGACTTGACAGTATGCTAATTCTGCTTAAGCTGGGGAGGTTGTTAACTCCATTTGCGTGGGCTGGATTTCCTGCATGTCTGGCTGATGTGAGTTCAGTAAGTTCCCTCAGTAGGCAGGTGAGCTCACCTGGTTGTTTGTGCTGTTGTATCTCTTCAAGTGCTTGGCGAACTCTGACCTGGAGGTGTGTCCAACAGCTATCAGTGCCATACTGCCATTGTTCAACCTGTGGTAGACAGAAAGAGGTTTACCATGTTTATTGTGCTTAGGTGGTACATTTGTTAATAAAACTATTACTTATGTGCCTGTTGTGAATGGAGAGTCTGTGGCAAGCATTATGACCAGAAAGCCAGTTCAACATTATAATAAGCCCACACTTTTTTCATATGGAAATGAGAATTGTTTACTTAATAAAACCAGTTTCTCTTCTGTTTTACCACAGGTCTATAAATAGATGTAGCTCACACTTGGACTGTTTCATCTTCACGTCAGTGGAAAATGTAAATGGGAGCTTCAAGGTATAAACAGGTCCAGATGGAATATATAATATTATATATGTAAAAGTAAGTAGCAAAGGCTCTTTGAAGTTCTGATCATTTAAAATTTTGGAAGCTTAATTGATCAGTCAAAGCTTTTATATATATTTTTTTATTTGTTTATTCTTTTTTATTGATTTCTGTAATTTTTCTGAAAGAGCAAATCATAATTAGTAATGGAACTAGAACTAGTATATACAGTGTATATGTATACTACTTCTAGTTGTGTTACTAATTCTGTTATCTATAGCTATATGGACGATATTTTGGAAGTTGAAGTGAAAGTTATACAATTTTGAGTGTCCAATCAGAATTATGACTTGCAAATATGAACCATGTGGAGGTTTTTTGATGAAAATGTTTTTTGACATAATTTATGTACAACAACAACACAGCGATCAATATTTTTGTCTCATTTGCTTGAGATGTAAAAATTGGTAAATATTAAGACTTTTTTTAAAGAATAAGTCTTGAATTGCATTTTTTCAGATTTTATTTTACTTTTTTTTTTCTTGTTTTCAGCGTAAGCATCACTAACTTTTTTTAGGATTTCTGTTTAAAACAAGACAAGAAAACAAAAACAAATTGCCTATTAGATATAGATACACTGAAAAAAATGTTTCATTCATCCAATTAAAAAAATTTAGGGTAATGATTCACATCTATATTTTTTAACTTGAGCCAATGAAAAATAAATAACTTGCCCTAAGGCAAGTTTTCAGTGTATATTCTCAGTAAGCAAGTCTTAATATTTTATGCAATGTGATTCAAATAAATGCATATTGTTGAAAGGATGTTTAGATATTTTTACTGAAAAACAAGACAATAACAACTAAAGAAATGATTTCTTGAAATGCAAACTCTGTGACCGCATTGACACTGTCCCCAACTAAAGATGCCGCTTACGAGAAGCTGAGCTTAACTTGTATTGCTCTGTAAAGACAGGAAGGAGAGGGGTTTGTTGAGAACTCATATAGGCCCATGGACAGATGCTCGGTCCTTAAGTCTACCCGGCCACTCCCTTTAATCAGAGTAATTATGTGCTGATTAGTCCAGTTTGGTGGCTTTGACCTTACGAGTCTGATCCAACCACTGATTCCAACCTTCAGGATTATGTTGGCCTACTCTAGCCGGCTTCATGCACCAAACGCCCACTACACAGGCAAGAAAGCAGTCAGGAAACTCAGTTAGCCTTGCGTGTTGCTGACATACTGACCTGATCTCAAGGTTTTACAGTCTACACTGACATCATCTACTGAGCCCATCTTACTTGCTTTTAAGACATACAGTCTGAAGGATTGAGGGCAGTGCTTAGTTTGTACACTACGAGGTTCCAGAACAAGAACCGGTGACAGATTTGGCCGATCATTGGAACATAAATAAACACTGCTTTAAACACAGAATCGACATTGAAAAAACTACAAAAACTACATCTTTCCTACTCTATTAACATTTTAAAAAGCTTTCGGGCACTTGCAATGTAGACAATTTCACTGAACATAGTGGGACAGATCTTGTTTTGTCGAGTTGCGATGGTCGCTTGTAGTGTAGATTCAGTAGAACAGATGCATTGAGATCTAAAGGAATAGTTCACCCAAATAGTGCATTGAGTGCTACATCACTGGTGGTGAGTTTCCCAATGATTATATAATGGCAAATGAATGTGTAAATCAGATTCTTTTGCAAATACAAAACAGCTTGAGTTTGTGCATGCAATATGCCATACTAAAAAATGATAAGTGACTACATCACAACTTGTTCTTTTCCTTTTTTATGATTTTACTGACCCTAAACCTTATGTATGTGTAAACCTTATTAACAGTAGTGGCCTTGCCAATATTTATCATGCTATTTATC